CACAAAAATCAGTAAGGCGAACGAGCTCGGCTTCTTATCAAAGCTGCGACTCTCGCTAACGGCTCTTAGCGCTGGCATTTATCATTCGGAAGTTAGTTTTTATGTAGAAGAAGTAGAAAAAAAACAAAAACTATAATGCTGATGTTAAATCTTTATGCAAAATTATTCTATGTGACCACAATTAAAAGCACACCGCGATGATGTGTTAATAAACTTGAATAAATCATTATCAATAAAATAGAGGCTTAAAAATTTTAATCTCGTTCTTTGGGTGACAAGCGGGTTTTTATAGTTTCCGAGCTGATTTTATTAGCCACATACAGTATGTATTTACGCATTTTGCCAAAGAATTCAGCTTTTATATTTCAAATTAAAAAAAATTTCGCAAGGCTCCCGCAAACCAAGTTCAATGTCAGTCACATTCCATTCAATTATAGTACAATATAAAGAATCTTATTTATGTATACCAGATAATGGGTTTTAATTTTAGATTTAATATTCTTGGTAAAAAATAAAGTGCTATTTTTGTTGCACTTTAGTTAAATCAAGGTGAGACTCTAAAAATATAATTCAAATTTATTAGTTTTTAGACTCTAGTTAATGTCATACTTTTTAAAATATTCCGTAAGCTTTTCGAAGTGTGGACGATAGAGCGTAGGCAGAGGGCATTCACGAATTTCCCTTAAACTGCAAGTCTCCAACGATCACCGATGGTCAGTGAATTCAAAGCAATATTAAATATGTATTGACTCAATGATAAATTCATACAAAAATATCAATACTCTCGTTTCAAAAACAATTATACCTTTGTTCAGACTTCAATAACTTCGAATTTCCTAGAATGACTTTTTGATTTTCAAAATATTTCCTAGAATGTCCTTTTGATCTCCAAAATAATTTAAATGTATTTTCATTCGTTAGTAGTTTCCCTTAGAGCATCGTTTCCTTTCCATGAAAATCAGATGATGCCGAGCCGCTTTGATATAAAGGGCGATTTTTTAAGGGCTATAGGAAAGTTTTTCAAAAAAAAAAAAAAAAAAACACATAAAATTCAGAAAATTGCATGAAATCTTTATTTGATCCAATAGTATGGTCCATATAATTTAATGTTTGAAGATTATTTCATGCAAATGTTGACCGTGACTGTGCCTTCAATGGTCCATCCGCTTAGTCCTCTTCTCGCATACTCTTTCCAACATTTTATTCGGTATCTCACGAATAAATAATTTAATGTTGCCCTCCAAAGCGTCAATCGAAGCGGACTTGTCTGTATAGACATTAATATGAATATAGCCCCACAAAAAATAATCTAAAGGCGTTAAATCGCATGATCTGAGCGGCCAGTTGACCGACCGGTCCCGATCGTGATATAAAATGCGCACCGAACTCGCCTCTCAACAAGTCCATTGTTACCCGTGCTGTGTGGCATGTGGTGGCGCCGTCTTGTTGAAACCACATGTCATGCAAGTCAAGCTCTTGTATTTTGGGCAAAACAAAAAAAAGTTAGATATCATCTCACGGTAGCGCTCACCTTTCACAGTTACGTTACGATTCGCATGATATTTGAAGAATACAGTCCAATGATGCCACCAGCCCATAAACCGCACCAAACTGTGACTTTTTCTGGATGCATTGGTAGCTCTTGCAATGCTTCTGGCTGATCTTAACTCCGAAATCGACAATTCAGCTTATTTACAAAGTTAACTCTTTGTCTTTATTAACATCGGAAACTATTTTTTCTTCCCCTACGATAGGAATGCTGCTGGTAGGACTATTACCGTGGCATTTCCTATAGGCGTCGGATTCCTACAACCACATGTCTGAATTTATTATTCTCGAACTTATGCGACTGCGTAAACTGGCTTTGAACAACTCCAAAAGCTCTTTCAATATCATTCCCATTCTGCTACATGGCGCGGAGGCATGGACAAGACAACATCTGATGATAATAAAAAAGATATACCGTGACATTGACATTTGTAGTTCAGCGAATCAACGGAATGGCTGAGCCGTGTGGTCAAAATAAAACACTACAGCCCTTAAAGTTTTCAATGCACTACCCGCCGATGGAAGCAGATGGATGGAAAGATCTTCACTTTGTTAGAAAGACCAGGTGGAGAAGGACCTGACTAAACTTGGTAATTCCAATAGGCGCTAGAATCCTATCAAAAACGAACAAAAAGAAGCACATATTTTCTATTATTCTGCCTTTCTAAATATCAAAATAGCTAAGTGATTACCGTGGCCTACAAACACTCGGATAGCCAGAGTTTGAGTCTTAGTTCGTGCAATATCGTCCATGTGAATATTCGACATGAAAATCACAGCAACTCATAAGAACTCATATGCTGTTCGGAGATGGCTTCGTATAATCTATAGATCCCTCCATTTGTTGAAAAATTTCATGACGTACACGGCAAAGCGGTGGTGGAACTCAGCCGAGAAAGACTTCAGCGGTAACAAACAACACATGTATATTATATATAAAATGTTAATTTACTAAATACACTTGAGTGCCATCATTTCTTTTGTGGATATCATCAACAAAGTCATCTAAAGCGGAATCAAACGTCGTACCAAGTTTTTAAAGCATTAAAATAATCAAACAAAGGAACCATTTCGTACGGCATCGTCCTGTTCTCCGTTACGGATTCAACTCAAATATTGTGGAGCGAATGCAAGTATACGAAGGAGCCACAAGATCCCTACTACTAATCCACACATTCTGTCTTACGTCGGTCCTTGCTGAAAGTGACTTCGTTAAATAACGCATTGGTATACTTTTTGTCAGATCCAAGTGGTTTCTAAAGGAAATCACCTCTGAAATGACCGACTAAAGGTAGAATGGCTTGTTGGAATTCTAGGCACACAAAGAGATGAAGCTGCACACGACCAAAGTAAGAAGAGATTGTGAGAACAACCAATGTTTAATAGAATGGCATGCCAAAATACCAGGAGCTCCTTATAGAAAAGCGTAACGAAGAGTGTCCTATCATGTCATACCGCGCTGAAAACGTGTTTATTCGCGCTAAAAGTTTAACTTTGACAGTTTTTCGATACTGTCAACGAACGTGTAGCACAAAAGTGGTTTGCTAGGTTCCGTTCCGGTAATTTCGACGTCAAAGATGCACCAGGTTTTGCTGTGTGTTTGGTGGGATAGGCATGGAATCATCTACTACGAGCCGCTTCCCAGCGCTCAATTCGGTCCTCTACTGCCAACAACTGGACCGCCTGAAGGCAGCACTCAGCCAGAAGAGGCCATCTTTGATCAACAGAGGGCGAATTGTGTTCAATCAGGACAACGCCAGGACACACACGTCTTTGGTGATGCGCCAGAAGCTCCAGGAGCGCGGGTGGGAGGTCCTAATGCACTCATCTTATAGTCCGGACCTGGCACCTAGTGATTACCATCTCTTCCTGTCCATGGCGAACGCGTTTAATGGTGAGAAGTTGGCCTCAAGAGAGGCCTGTGAAAGTTGGATCTTCGAGTTTTTTGCCAATAGAAACGCAGCCTTCTACAAGAGGGGTATAACGAAGTTGGTATCTCGTTAAATTGGACAAAAGTACACAAAGTTATTATATTTTGAAAAATCAATAAAAAAAACCGAATAAGCTTTCTACTTGACCTAATATTAAGATCTTATTCAGCGATAAGTGTAATCGATGCAGTCGCCCAGAATTTAACCGCACAAAGCGTCATTAAATACTCAAAGAAGTATAGGACAGACAGACTCCGCTATATTGAAATTGCCCAAGCAGAGCTAATCAAGTGAGGAGTATAAGAAAGTGTGCTCTGTCTGTAGAAAAAAACTCAAAATCTATCAAAAGGACAAAGTCACGTGAGAATAAAATATTTTATTTAGTATTAGTTACTGCCACTCGAAAGAATGAGCTTCGAATGCTGGTACCACCAACAACCAAAAATTTCCAAAAAATTATCTTAAATAAAAAATCAAGTAAATTTCTCAAAATACGTTTGCGCCACGGCAGGGAATGTGTATTTATGCCATGAAAAAAAGTCCGGCTGTCATTCGGTGACGGCTTAGTATGAACCGTAAGCCACTTGGCTTCACTTGGGCTTGGGTAACTTCGCTATATCGCCATATTGGTTTGTATATCAAAAATATATATATATATATTATTATTAAGTAAAAAACCGATGCCAAATAATAAATGACAGACCTTTACGTGTACTGTGTTTCGACAAAATGGTACACATGTTTAGGAAAAAAGCTGTATTTATAAGATAAAACATTTAAATCCAAATAAAATAAATTAGTCATCTAAACTGCCATTAATTGCTAACTCGTTTAGTATGTTACCAACTAATTAATTATCGACCTGCATTTTAGGCAAACAATAGACAAACTAACAAAACCTTTTATAGTAATGCAAGTTTGAAAAGCCAAAAGCGATATGTATGTCCACAAGCAACTTGGAAAACATTTGTAAAATCAGAGTGTGAATTTGAACAAAAAACAAAAAAAAAAAAACCAGAACCAACCAACAAAGTCAAATTGGAGCCGAATAATGCGCCCTACGCACAAAAATCAATCGATAATAATGGGTTAATAAACAACAAACGAAACAACAACAACAACAACAACGACAACAATTGTAATATTTAAGTTCCAAATATTTTGTGCAACAAAGCAAAGTGGATCTCAGCCACTCGCATGTGATCGTGTGTGCGTGCGTGTGTGTGTGTGTGCTCACACAATTGATTCAACTCACTTAGTTTTTGAAGACACACAACAAAAGCAACAAAAATATCACACTTTTAACTTAAGACCCATCGATCGAGCATACGCCAAATGCCAATAAAAACAATAACAGCGACAAAATTATTGAGTTTTGTATGGTTAGGCCTACAAGAAATGAAAAAAAACTCATTTGAAATCAATAACATCTAAAGGTTACAACAACAAAAAGTGGCAAATCTGCATATTTTAATTTTTTTTTTTTTTCAAATTTTTTTTTTATTTTTTTTTTTAATTTGATGCAGAAAAACAGAAGATATGCTCAATTTATGCAGCCGAGCAGACAAAATTGTAAAGACAAACGACGACCCCCACTTTGTATATAAACTATGTAGATCAGTAGGCCTATATCCAGTAAACCAACTACATTCATTACTGCAGCATCTCCGCGGTGTGTCGAGTCGAAATAGAAGCCTAAAAGTGCAAAGTTGAAAAATATCGAAGAATATTTAACGAAGAATATTACCGCGTACGGTGTATCAAACAGCAAAGTGTTTTGTGAAAATTTAGAATTCAATTCTAAATAAGAAACTCAAATAAAAAGAAATCGAAAAAAAAAAATTCAAAAACCAAAATGCGCGCCTTTATCATCGTACTCGCCTTATTCGCTCTCAGCGCCTACGCAGCGCCACAATATGGATACGAGCCTGCTAGCAGCGGCAGTGGATTACCCGCACGTAGCAGCAGCGGCAGCAATGGAATCCTGCCCGGCGCTGGTATTGGTGGTGGGAGCGCAGCACCCGGTGGTGCCATTGGCAATGGCAATTCGCTAAGCCATAGCAGCGGACGTGGTGGTGACAAATACTTGCCACCCGAGTCTGAGCAGCAAGCACCACTCATCAACAAGCAATTCTACACCATCTCGGCACCCGAAGATAATGCCACCAAAGCGAAACACTTGGTTTTGGGCAAACCACAAAAGAATTTCCGTGTGATCTTCATTAAGGCACCAACACCCGATAATGTTAAATACTCTGCTGAATTTGCGCCACAAGAAGAGAAGACCGTTATCTATGTATTGCACAAGAAGGGTGAGGATATCGATGCTGCCAACATTGCTACACCAGCACCAACTGTGCCCAGCAAACCAGAGGTATTCTTCATCAAATACAAGACACCCGAGGAGGCACAACAAGCGCAGAAGGAAATTCAGGGTTAGTATTTGAGCTTCTTCTTAGCCGCCAAAGATTGAACGTTTCATTAAAAACTACCAAACTGATCTAGTGTTCATTTCGAACAACAAATCGCTTTATTTTGCCTTCTAATATTTATTCTCTTTCTGTACTCTCCTCTCTTCCAGAACAATACGATCAATTGGGCGGCAACAATCAGTTTGGCGAAGACACCGCACCCATTACCTCTGTGGTGGGCGCTTTGGACAGTCTCAACCCTGATGGCAGCTACAATTATCGTCAAGTGAACAGCGGCAGCTCCAATTTGGCTGAGCCTCAACAGCCCAGCTCACAATATTTGCCATCTTTCTTAAAGCTTTAAGTTGTCCTGGCGAGACGCGAGACATTATTCACGACTCACGACCCCCAAAAAGAGGAGAATTTAGTTTTAGTTTAGAAATGTTGACTAATTTTTAAGGGAATGCTGTGGCAAGCATAATCATTTGTTTTGCTATGCCTTGTTTACATACATACGCACATTGTTATTCTTTGATATTTTTTATTTGTTATTTTTGTTACTTGTTGTTGATTTTATATATAATAAATTGAGATTGAAACTCGTCGAAAACGTAAAAGCGAAAAATTGGTTTTTGTTTGTATGTTGCTGACAGTGGTGGCTTCCAGTGCTGTTGGGAAATTCCAAGAAATATTTGCATATAACTTTTTTTAAATTCCCAAGCGAACTTCTACTGTGTGGGCTTATGTTCGCATAATTTAGAATTGGATTTAGTTACTAAACTCTTGGCATTGTTAGTGTTCTTAGCTAGTTCGATCAGGCCAACTGCGAGACTGGGAAATACCCAACTCAGATTCATATGAAAGCATCATAAAAGCCAATTCCCATTTTAGCCTTCAACATATACCAGAAAAGAAGAAGCTTGAAACTTAAATAAAAAGTTTTTTAAATCCCTTTGCAAAAAAGGGTTCGGACATCTCAGAATTTAGGAATTATAATTTAAATTAAAAATTAAGTTAGTTTTTTCTAATGGCGATCTTCCCTCGGCAGGGAATGTCAACTACTCCGACTGTATTTCGGGCATGAAATAAAGGCTTCTCGTAAAAAAACCATCAGCCGTTCGGAGGCGGCTTAGTATAAACTGTAGATCCCTCCGACACACAAAACGAATTGGAGGTGAAATCGCTTCATCGGTTAGAAATTGCCAATTACACTCGGCTTAAGAGTTATCGAGACAAAAAATTTGCATAGGATATATGGTCCTTGAAAGACCATGAAAGAAACGGACCTGGCTGTACTTGGTATTTCCAATTGGCGTCAAACAACAAAAAAGAAGAAACGAATGGCACAATGTTGTTAAATCGGCTATAATGGCGTGTGCGGTATTTACGCCAGTAAAGTAAGTAGTTGAGAATGGGAGCCTATATAGAAGCTCACAAAAGTGAAAAAATTCTTTGATATCCTTTACACCTGGAAATGACCTGAAACGAAATTTTTACTTATGGTTCAAGCGGCTCACGACTCCGGTCTTCGAACACGTGTCTGGGTAGCCGAAAAAACATCCGTATGGAGGCGTGCTAAAGTAAGAATACGCGATTGTACGTGAGCTAACTCCAACGACAAATGAAACAAAGACTCGACCTCCGCAATAGGTTTAAAGATCACGTTTTGAGGGCTTGCTACTGAAATGCCCGGTACCAGTTGCCCAGCTGGTTGATGTCCTCGCTGACATCAGCGCCGTCCAAAAAGTGATATCACGAGACAATGACAGCGGCTATTAGAGAACGCAAATTTGGTTCTCCCACATCAAAGATAAATTTTTCAACATATCGCTGATTTGTGAGCACTCCTCGTCGAAAGAGAAGACTTCGTGTCCATGGACACTTTTCATCAGCGCCAAGAATGCACCTATGAGCGCTGCCCCGTCATGTGTTGAAAACTTTCATTGGAGACTTCATTTCTAGGGTCGGTATATTGAGTCTCCACGAGAAAACAACCTACCCTACCACGCAACTTTGCGATCGAGCACAACATGTTCGGGGTAAGATGGATACCGAGAGCTGAAGAGGGAGGCAAAAACCATATGCAGACCAAAAAAATAAGGAAGCGTGAGTATGAAGAGTTTGAGTAGCATGCGGCGACTCACATAAGGTTACAAGACCTGAGCATACTCAGATAGGAACCAAGGTGATAATCTGGTGACCAAGAGCATATTTGCCTGCTGAATAGCAGTGAATGGGCACCACACGGAAACGGTGGATTCGTAACCCCATTCGATGATGAGGGAAAAGACATTCCATTACCCGACTATGGCGGGGCTCGAATTGCGATTGCCCGATTAAACAACAAGAAAGCGGCCGGAGCATGACGGCCTACTGGCAAAGCTATCCAAACATGACGATGAAGAACTGACAAGTTTACAGAATATGATCGAACGAAAGCATGCACGAGCATGGGTATATGAGTTTTGCCCAATCCATAAAATAAGGAACTCAATGATCTACGCCAATTATCGTGGGATAAACCTCCTTAATATCACCTATAAGGTGATGACCAGCGTTTTGTGTGAAAGACTAAAGCCCACCGTCAACAAATTAATTGGAACTTATCAGTGTGGACTTAGACCCAGTAAATCTACCTTTGAACAGATCTTCACCATGCGCCAAATCTTAGAAAATATCCCTTATGCTGGGTAGCTTTAAAAGCTCAGTCAGAATTGAGAAGGACTTCTCCGAGCCGTTCGGTAGCAAACGTGGTTTCGGACTGAGTGACTCTTTATCGCTTAATTTTTTTCAATTTAATGCTAAAGAAAATAATAAGGGCTGCAGAGCTTAGAAGAAGAGATACAATCTTCCATAGGAGCATACAACTGAAATGTAATCTGCCAACAAAATGGTCGACTACTTTAAGGTTAAGTAGCAAAGTATTTAATATTTTGGTTGATGCTGCGAAATTTTTAAAGGAAATACAGACTAACGGGTTAAAGCTTTTGCTAGAAATTCTTTTATTGGAAACCGAATACATGTTCTAACGAACCAACCCTTGGATAAAGATAGTCCTCAACCAGAAAACGCTTAGTTAGCAACTCTGAAGAACATAAGAAATCTTCACCAAATGTCGCCAAGTGTTGCTAAGTGACAGGAAAAAACTCTAAAAGGTAGCATCAAATTCAAAAAATGTTTTTTTGCCCCCCATTCACTTTATGTTAATTCGACTAAACGCTCACATTTCAAACTCTTAATGATCGAGTTGCTATTTTGACTATGAATGGGCACTCAAATGAAAGAGTTCATCATTCATTTTATGGCTTGAAGCTTTTTAAAATCAATTTTGCAGCGATTAAATTGAAAAGAACAGTATAATTTTTATATCCAGCAACCAAATATGGAAAACATTGATGAGCGATTAGCCTTTGTTTGCCCACCAAATACACAAGAAAAGTTATAAAACTCACAAGGAAGGCGACACAAGACAATGACCAGACTAGACTACCGTGCCGCATTGAAAGCCGCGAGATGACGCTCAACACAGGTAGCCGCCAACGGCAAGCGAGACGAGCAGCTTACAAGCGAGCTAGCGATTGACCTTGAGAAATCAATCGAAATGAAATCAGAGTAAATGACGCTGGAAAATATGCAACAAAAGTGTGGCAATTGATTGTGTGATGGAGGAACATTGTTTGTGTATTTATTATTTATTATAAAGACAGCGGAAACAAGGCGAGCAATTAATTTCAGCAACAACAATAGCAAAGTAAAATATATCGGTGTATTTTAATAGAATTGCAAGCTCAATAAGGTGTTGCTGGTGAGATGTGCGGTCAATGCATGCGGTTTTTTCTTTTTTCTTTTTGTTTTTGTTAACATATGTTATTAATCTCTTTAGCTGTTGGTGCTGTTGCTGTGTGTTGTGCAGCAGCAGATGCTTTTACACTAATAACTATTGACAGTGCAACAACAAAAAATGTCAACCGATTCACAAACGATCGCCGGCGATCGATTTTAGCGCCGTGCCAACGCCGTCTCCGCCGCCGCCGCCTTTGATCATAGAGTACGCGGCGCAAATTTGCATTGATTTTGCGAATTTTTGCGAATTTTTGTGTATTTTGCGAATTTTGCAAATTTTCTAGTGCGAAAAGCGTAACAATTTCGCATATAAATTCATATTGCAATGCAGACAGGTCAAGCAGTGCAATCATTAGCCTCTTAGTGAATCAACACAATCTGTGAACGGCGAAAAATTTACAGAGTTCAGTGTAGTGTCGTGTCGTGTGTGGATAGAAAAATTTATTTGTGTAAAAAAATATATATATATCAAAAGCAATAGTTTGCTAATTATACAAATATTTCATACAAAGGACTAAAAGTCGAATTAAAATTTTCGCAATGCGTTCTTTTGTCTTACTCGCCTGTTTGGTGTCCATCTCCGCCGTCAGCGCCGCGCCACAATTCGGTTACGGCTATGGAGCTCAACCAGCCGCCAGCAGTTTCGTTCCCTCATCACGCGGTGGTGACAAATATTTACCACCCGCCACTACAACACCGGCACCCAGTGTACATAAGCAATTCTATCTGATTTCCGCACCTGAAGACACGGAAAATGCCGGCAAACCAAAACACTTGGTTATTGGACGCCCACAAAAGAATTACCGTGTAGTCTTCATTAAGGCACCCAACTCTGATAACTCCAACCTTAAATTGTCAGCCGAATTCGCGCCACAAGAGGAGAAGACTGTCATTTATGTGCTCAGCAAGAAGGATAATGAGCTTACAGCCAATGACTTTGCCACACCAGCACCCACAGTGCCAAGCAAGCCTGAAGTCTTCTTCATCAAGTACAAGACACCCGAGGAAGCTGAGGCGGCACAGAAGGAAATTCAAGGTATTAAATGAAAATGAAAAATATAGCAAAAATTCAAAATCAAGCAATTCAAAAATGTTTATTCAAAACAATATAATAATTCCATTTCAGACCAATACGATCAATTGGGCGGCACCAAGGAATTCTCTGATGAAGGCACCGCTCCAGTGGCTTCGGTTATTGGTTCTTTGGACGGTATTGCTCCCGATGGTAGCTACCAGTACGGCGCCATTGCCCCACCACCAGGCGAACTTGGCAGCGGCTCATCACCAATCAGCCAATATTTGCCTGCTGCGTCGCGTCTGTAAAGTTGATTTGTTCGCATTGCTTTGTTGTTATTCCTTAAGGCAGTCAAGCATAGCAAATGACTGTTGCTCGACTATAAGAACTCGTTGATTAATTTTAATTATAGAATTGTTGAAATTTTAATTTTTGTTACGAAAAAAATGTTTGTTAATAAATAAAATAATTAAATAAAAACTATACAAATTTATTTTCTTACAACAGACAAAAACTTTCAAATAAAAATAATAATAATAATCATACGAATTAAAATAAAATTAGAGTCAATAATAAAAATTAAGTTAATTAATTAATATAAAATAATATTAAATTAATTGATAAAAATTATTATTGTTTAAACAAGCAAATAAATTAAACCTAGTGAGTAAATCAAAAAATATAAAAACAATACAAAATATAAAACTAAATTTGAATAAATAATAAAACAACATAAAAGAAAATAAATCTAATGATATGGAAAAAAATTAAATAAAACACAGTAAAATAAAATTAAATTAAATAAAATAGAACAAATGAATAAAATGAAATAAAATAAAATAAAATAAAATAAAATAAAATAAAATGAAATAAAATAAAATAAAAATAAGTAAAATAAAATAATCTAAACACAAGTTTAAATTACATTAAGTACACTAAAATAAAATAAGCTTAAATAAAATAAAGTAGAAAAAACACAAAAAAATAAAATTAAAATAAATTAAATTAAATAAACTTCAATAGCGCAAACGAATAAAATGCAATAAAATGCAACAAAAAAGAAATAAAATTAAAAAAAAAATAAGAATAGAAAAAAATCAAATAAAATAAAATACCAAATAATATATCATTAAATGAAATCAAGCTGACTTAAATTAAATTTAAAAATTATAAAAATTAAAAAAAAATAAATAAATCGATAAAATAAAATAAATTAAAAGAAAATTTAAATAATACAAATTTAAAAACAAAATAAAATAATTTAAACTTACTTAAATTAAATTAAATATAACCAAATTAAACTAACCTAAAATAAATTAATTATTAAAAATTTAAATAAAATGAAATAAAATAAATTAAATTAAATAAAACGAAATAAAATATAATAAATAAGGGAAAGTATATTAAATAAAGTTGGAATAAATATAATAAAACTAATTTACAATAAATAAATTGTAATTAAATTAAAATTAAATAAAATAAATGAATTAAAATGAAAGAAAATAAAATAAAATATAACTAAATTAGATGAAAAAATAAAACAAAATTAAATAAATTAAAAGCTATTTTTGCCTTAGTTTTTGTGTTAGTTTTTTAAATAAAATTGAAATATTTAAAAATAAAATAAAATACTTCACATATTCTCTTCACTCCTTTTTCGCAAAGTAAATACATATGAATTCCAAAGAGTTTTATTCGCCACTAAATATATGTGTATTGAACGCACAACGATTTGCATTGCAAATTTACTAAGTTAGATTGTTAATTTATGAGCGTATAACATCAATTAGATGGAGAAAAAAATCATTTCCGATTCTTGAAATCATAAATATGAAAGCAACCACCGTAAACTACCGTCGCGACAAATTTTGTTGCTTACCATTTTTGCATTAACTAAGCCAAGGTTATAAATCAGAATATTTATGGCTGCTTTATTTTTTTTTTTTTTTTTTTGTATTCTCTTTGATATTTTTTATGCTTACACAAATTTGCTGGAATTTATGGTAGAGCGTCACATTTTACGACAAACAAACGAAATGAATATGGGCCAACGATAGAGCTTTCCCAGTTTCTTTTACTCTTATTCTCGTGTATGGCTGGATATGTTAAATTTGGACTGGGAATGCTTGGATGCAAAGGGTAAAACACAATTTAACTGTACTATGGGCCGAAGTAATATATGCTAAGATGATAGTTAAGAAATATTTAAGCTTTATGTGAGCAAGCTTTAGCGTTGTGATCATACGCAAACGCAAATAAGTGGATTTACCAACGAAAAGTTTTTTTGTGCAAGAAGCATGTAAATTTGTCTAATTGCCGAAATATGCTCGTTAACATACTAATAAGCTACTAAACTCATCTTAATTATTAAAAAATAAACAACTCGACTGAGAAAATGCATACGAGTTGAAGATAGAAAAAGAAAAGAGAGGGAATCACGCATAATTCATAATTGGCAAATGGGCACGAGCTCATGACATTGAACTAATTAATTTGCTCACAGCATTTGCGTGGCTCAAGCACACAAATATATATACATATTTCGTCTGCTGTGAGGGCGGATGTCTTTATGACCAACAAAATTTTTAACAAACAAATTAACGTTCAAATTATCAGATTTTCCCAGGCGCAACTTAGTGCTTATTAATGACGAGTAATTTACATTTCTACATATCTACGACTGTTACTGTTGCATGCAACATTTCAACATTTTCACAAGGCTCAACAACTGATGATTTTGATCTAAATGTTGAACACATCTATAAAACGTTGCTGTCAGCCTCGGCTCATCAACAGTTCCACAAATCGTTTAGACAAAATTACAACTTGGATCGACCACCGACAGCAGGTGGTTTAAAAGAAAATTTGAATTTATTTTTTCGTGTTAAATTTTTTTACAAAAATGCGCTTCCTTTGTGTCTATGTATCCTGTGTGTTGTGCGTGTTCGCTATGTCCGTTAACGGTGTATCCGATTTCGGCTATCACTATGAACGCAATAGCAACACTAACTCGAACACTAAAGGTAACGGTATCAGCGTTATCAGCGGCAGCGGTATACATTCGAAGAATACCAACAGCGAAAACTTTTTTAATCCTGCACCACTTGGCGGTAATTCACTTCTTCTGCCGCAACATCAAACTCAACGTCAACAGCAGCAACAGCAACAACAACAACAACAAGAACAGCAACAGCAAAAATTAGAGCAACAATCATATAGTGGTGATAAGTATTTGCCACCTTCTCATCAGCCCACCGCCGAGCCGATCATCACCAAGCAATTCTTTTTAGTCTCGGCACCGGAAGACTCAGAGGAGCAAACACGCACTAAGCACTTTGTAATTGGCCGCCCACAAAAGAATTATCGCGTAGTGTTTATTAAAGCGCCAGCACCAGAAAACGCCAATCTCAAATTGACCGCTGAATATGCACCACAAGAGGAGAAGACTGTCATTTATGTGTTATCGAAGAAGGATAACGAATTGAATATCGGTGAGATTGGCACGCCTGCGCCAACACAACCCACCAAACCGGAAGTGTTCTTTATTAAGTACAAAACACCGGAGGAGGCCGCAGCCGCACAGAAAGAAATTCAAGGTGAGTGAAAATTAAGTGAATGGTCGGGGGAGCTTAAGACTAGTACAACAGAATATTTGGTCTAAATCGATTTTTTACTAGCCACTCGTGATACGAAGCACTTTAGTATGGTAAGCCGAGTAATTAATCCGCAGAGAAAGACCGTGAAACACTATTAAGACTGATTTATTTTCCTTGCTATTTCATTACCTTGGCTCTTTAAGAAAATTTTGAGCTTCTGTAGCTAGCACATAATGGGTACATAATGTCTGAAGTTCGGTGGAAAAGGCGGAGACCTTAGTGAATTGAGTCAAGAGTGGCCAACCAGGTTATTTTTTATTTCTTTACGAGTGGTTAGCAGCTTTCGCAGGTCGTAACAGAGATGGACTTTACGCACCTCAACTGAGCTGTAGGAATACCGTTCAGGATAAAATTTATAATTTTCTTCACAAAACGGTTTGCTTTTTTGCCATGTTTGAAAATTTAAAAATCTAAAACTTAAGATTTCATTTTAGTTTAATTGTTTATATATTTTTTAATTTTATTTTTTCTCATTTTATTTTCATTTCGTTTCAATTTATTTCACTGCAATTTATTTTATTTAATTTAATTTCCTTTCATTTCATTTCATTTCATTTCATTTTATTTCATTTCATTTTATATTATTTTTTTTATTTTATTTTATTTTATTTTATATTATTTTATTTGATTTTATTTTGATTTATTTTACTTTATTTTATTTTGATTTATTTTACTTTATTTTATTTTGATTTATATTACTTTATTTTATTTTGATTTGTTTTACTTTATTTTATTTTGATTTATTTTACTTTTTGTTATTTTGTACATTTTTATTTAACGTTATTTTGTTTTATTTTCAACGTAAACTTAAAAATTTAATTTTTTCAGAGCAATACGACAATCTGGGTGGCACCTCGGAGTTCTCTGACGAGGGTGTGGTACCTATTAAATCCGTAGTGGGTTCTCTGGACGGTCTAGCGGCCAATGGTGGTTACGATTATCGTAAAGTTCAGAATGGCGTTGAATCACCCATCAAAAATTTCTTACAACCAGCACGTTTCTACTTTTAAATAGTTTTTGAGGTATTATTTGTTATTATATTTGTATACATACATATTTTTTTAACAGCGTCATATATAGTTCTACATATACAAATATACTTGTGTCTAAAAATTCTAAAATTTTTGTTTTCCATTTAATACTCAATACAATTTTTATATAAACATAACGCATTATACGGAAATTGAAATGCAATTGAAAGCCCAATGGATACCCAATGCTCGCGAACAAAAGACTTAAACAACAAACTCGATTGGCGTGTATATGTCCCTAAAAGTATTAGTGATTGAAGTCATTAATTTTATTTTCATTTATTTTCGAGAAATTTTTATTTATGATCTATACGCAGCTGATTGATTGGCTTGTCATCGATACCATTTTGTAGCACACACACACCAATATGCAACAGCGTTGAATTGCCAACAAGCAACCGTCACCAAATAGTCAATAGACAAAGAAGATGTTTTGACATCGACGAATGGCTTTTTATGCAAACTCCTAAAAATGACATTATAAATTTATAAGATTAAATTAAGTTTTTTAACTGCAATCGGGTATCCATTGTGGCGCTGCGCAAATTTTAGTAGCAGGGAAAAAACAAGTTGGCCATGTCTGCACGTATTGAATGGCAGTCAGCGAAAAATCAACTGCTCATATGCGTTTTGATTAATTGCGTCTTGACTAGCGCGCGCATTTGCTCATAACTCTAACTATCTGTTCACATCAGGCCAGAAATATGCATATTCGCATAATAAACTTCCTCCTCCATTTCGACGTCTTGTGATGCGCTTGTTAAGCTTGGCCGACAGCGCGCCGCCGCTTTTTAGCGGTTCGTGTTGACCTAGCTGAGTTGTGACAACTGCTTCGTCACTGTCGCGGGGTAGCAATTTTTTATGATGTTTTGACAAAATTTGCGAATTTTATGCAAATTAATTTTTGCTCATCTTAGTCCACTTTTTCCCTTATTTTGTGGAATTTTTTTTAGTTAATTGCTGTTAACCTCGTTTATTTGCGTTTTTTTTTATGATAATAAACTCAGTTTTCGTTTAACTTTCGTTGATTTTAACAGTATTTCTTCTTCTTAGTTTTAATGAGCACCACGCCTCGTTTATTGCTGCCGCGCGCGCTTTCGAAGGGGCGGCTATTGCGCAAACTTAATTGGCTTGTGGCAAAATTTAATTGCCACGCGTTGGCATAAAAACTATTGTATTTTCCTTTCAAATTCCTCAGAGAGAGAGAGAGAGAGAGAAAGTGAGGAGAGAAATTAACCGTTTGGCAATACAACAAATAAATTAAGATATCATAAGACGGTGTTTAGCAACACAACAATAACAACAATTGTGTATTGATCGCTTAATTGCTTATCACATAACTTAATTATGACCGAAAATTTTCATGTTCCAACAAGTGTTGGCTTTTACGACCATCATCATTTGCAAAATTTATAGCCGATTCATTAATATGACACTAAGCGATTTTGAAACAAAAAATGAATGCCACCAAAGTTTTCGAGTCAAATGTTGATAACAAAAAGAAGAAGAAGCAAGAAATCCCTTTTGATGCTGACCGCAAATAAATTATATTTCGTATGTAAGCGTGATTAATGCTACTTTCGAAGTTTCACGTGAGAATGGGGAAGATGGAATGGCAGTAGGGGCGATCTTTGAACGACCTGAGTTGCTTATAGTATTATATCCCTGAACCAACGCAGCCGAGCGGCTTCTTCTCTGGCCATAATTCCTTCAAGCAAACACCGCAGGAAGCACCTAACTTCTTCGCGGATGGTGCAAAGCTTAAGAAAAAAGTCAGTTTGGCAAACTTCCGTCGAGAATAAATCGGCGGGAATAAGTATTAAATTTCGGTCGGCTTTTAATCAGTTTGGGTTTTGAACCAACTCAGTGAGTGCCTGTAACTCAACATACAGAGTTCCAAGATCTTTTTGGCCTTACGAGGAACGTTATGAGTCAGACTTTTGTTTTTCTATCCTAAAAGCATAATTCCCGCACTCAGTGGGGTTTCTGACGTACTCGTAGTTGTTTGAAAGAAAAATTGGAATTAACTATATAGTTTCTTATGAATTATCGCATATTGCCGAGACTGAGAATGAAAATTTGCGGCCCTCACACTATTTTTGGCATCACGAAGTGTTTATGGAGGATTCCCTTCATATCAGCGTACATACATACCTACCTATTCGTTTAAGACTTATAGACACAGCTTATTCTTAGCTGCCACCAAACGACTGAGCTTAAATATCAGAAACGCATTCTAAATTTGATACTTAATAGTGTCTTATGACACATTTGATAGGGTACAGTCTGATATGCTAACAATGTCCCATCAGTCTCAGCAATTGGTTGTTTACGGTATCCTGGTACCTCAGATCATGTTACACATATTCGCTTGCAGGATGTTTGCTAGGTGGGTGAGAGGGGTTGTTAGTTTCTTGAGAAACATCCCTGCACCAACGTCTCTGCCTTATGCGGGTCCATTTTCCCCCTTTCCTGCCAATACTTCAGCTTTGGGGGATTTCAACGCAGCACCCACCAGTTTAAGCAGAGAAAGATGAAGACCTCTACTCCGTTGGAAAAATCGAATAAGGTAGAGAAGAACCTGAATACACTAAATGTCTCCAATTGAAGCTGATCAACTAAGAAAAGAAAAGACTCAACTCTAATGGCGCAAGCCATGTCTATGTTAGTAAAGAAGAAGAAACTAAGGTACCAGCGCATCTCACTTTTGTAAATAATTTGTTAAAATAACTTGGAATTTTATGAGGGGGATAACCAGCTGACTTTGCATCAAAAGTAAAATCGGCTCATCATAATGAGATTGCTTCAAGCCTAAGCTGCACTAGATTTCTGGTATGCTTAAGAATTAAATATTTCTGTAAATTTGACTGCTTTGCAAAGGTTTGTACACCACCAAGCTGACTTCTGGAAGTCTGTTCACCATTTTTATTACGTTTCGTTGACTATAAAAGGCGAGGTTACCGACCCCAAGTGGAATTTTATAGCAAGTAAGAGGCAAACTCGACAGGAGGGTCTAGCCCCTCACACTGTCATCCCCTTCAGTGAAGGCATCAAACTATTTATGGTGGTCTAGACCTCTCTTCAGCCTACATTTGTCGAAACTGGTTGTGTTTGTTATTTAAGACAAGTCTTTAGTCAACTAAGGAAAAGTTTCGAAATTTCGTGTTTTTTCACAAACTTTATGAGCGTTGGTAAGTGAGTCTGAATGGCGGCAAATCCTCTATTTTATACAAAGAATCTTACTTTGGTGTACCGCTGCACCTTTTTCTTTCATTTTTTCTTTCATAATAAAGAAGCCAATCAAAATTAGTATTCTTTTTTATTTACCAAAACAATATACTTGCTTGGAATGTGGCATATTTAATGAAAATCTTAAGAAATTTAAATTTCCAGCACATAAATTCAACAAGACACGAATAATGCACCCAGACAACCGAGAGAAGCAAAGACACTTGAGTTGATAACAAAATATCTGATTTTATTTAATAAATTCAAAAATTCAAAAATTCACGGCGGCCGCACGCCCTTTGAGTGCTCCGCCGGAGCTCTTTTGTCATTTCTTTTGCACAATTCCTATTTTATTGTAAATAAATTCAAATTACAATAAACTGACAACTTAATGGTAAATGGTAAGTAATTTAAGTTGGGTTTTTCGTATAATTCCATGATGAGTGATCGTTGTGTAAATTCAATAACAAAGACTACCGGTGTTTGGCTTTGATTCGACCGCAGCGTTTGACCAAACGACCAATCGACCAAACGACCACCAAGCATGTTTTGTTGCTGTTAAACGCTAGTAGTGAAGAATATATACGCATATATGTATATATTTACAATAATTAAGCGTTGTATGTGTAGTTATAAATTGTTGGCTTGACCTTGACATTAACTTTTTTGTTCAATAATTTGGTTGATAACAGCGCTGCTTTAGGCAGACAGGCAGGCAATTAGTAGGGAGAAAATATTGCTTATTAAATATTATATGTAAATATAAAATCACTTCAGCCGCTGCAAGGCGCTAATAAAATAAAATACATATATAGGTGAGGTTTAATAAAAATAATTTGGGATTCTTAGGTGATTTTTAGCATGTTTTTGAGCTCTTTTGAGATTTTTTTTCAGATCTTTTGTTTCTAAAATGTTAACTCGTTACAGATGCTTTGCCCTGCATTTTTATATACAGCGAGTTAACATTTTAAAGCATTTACTCAGGAAATCCGGTAAAAATCTAAAAAGAGCTCAAAAATAAGCTAAGAATTACCTAAAAATCCCAAATGATTTTTATTAAATTTTTATACTAAGCGAAAAGCTGTCGTTAATGTTAAATCGTTAACAGATAATGTTAAACTTTAAAATTGAGGTGTGCTGTTAAATTATAGCAAGCAGCAATTTTAAAATCAACGTTAACAATGAGTTTATGCTGTTTCAACGCTACTGATTTCATTTCGTTTTGATAACATATAGCCGAAACGAAACGATTTCATTTCGTTGAGTTAATTTTTCTTGATAACGAAACAGAATAATATCGTTGCGTTAGTTGCGCATCTATGTTTGATATTTTCTTCAACACTTACAAATGCAAATAAATTATTACAACTAACAAAGGCAAAAATATGGTGGAGGAAAAAGTTATGACAGCGCTGCCATAATGTATAAATATGTACATCTTTACTATATATGTGTGTAAAGATATGTGAATATAAGTATGCCGTAACTTGTGAAAGCGTCTAGCAAGGAGATTCGTTTACATTATTAAAAAAAAAAAGAAATATTCACGAATTGCAAAAATAATCACTAAATACGAGGATTAAACTATAATTATATATTTTTGTATGTATATCTTTGAAAAAATAATCCACATGTGTTTACATAAAATCGCAAAGCAACCGCCACAGCGGCAACTCGCATTTTACAAATTTTCGATGCTTCATTAAATTCATTAAATTATTAGCAATTTATGCGAGTAAAATACACTATAGAGATATCACTGATGCCTGTAATATATATGTACA